CTACAGTTGTTTAGATGCCCAGTTTTATGATGATGAAACAGTCACAGTAGTTCTTAAAGACACTGTAGGACGTGAAGGAAGAGATAGACTCTTGGTGCAGTTACCATTGTCTTCGGTATACAACAGTGAAGATTCTGCAGAATATCAGTTCACTGGGACTTACTCTGCAAGGTAACTTACATTAGTAAGATTGTCTTTCTGATAGAACAGTTAAATGTTCCTTTTTTTAAAATGTATATTGTACATTATTGTTCTTTAGGTATGATAAAGTCAACTGAGGAGAAATACTTCTATTTTTTTTTATTAAAAAAAACTGGCTTCAACAGCTGTCTTGTCCTTTTACTTTGTTAGTAAATCAAGAATTATTTGCGGGAAGAAGGTGGGGAATTATTTTGTGTGGAGAACAGCACTTCTGTTTTCAAGGATGACATTAGCCCTAGTTTGTAGTAGAATTATTTTAGATTTGTCTTTAGTATTTTCCTTTCAGAATTAGGACTTCAATAGCCACAGAATGGTTTCAAGGTCACTTCCAAGAGATAGCTTTAGATTGAGATTTAAGTAAGCAGATCTCTAATTTATTAATAAAATGAGTTCATTTACTTACCTTAAAAGTGAATCAAAAACCTCACTTTCTAAGGTTTCTGCTTTAATAAGATATTTGGTCCATTTGGAAGTGCAATGTTTTCATAGAATATAGTATCACAGCTTTTTTATACAGTAGCTGGGAGAATTATGTTGGAAATGGGAATATTGGTAGAAATCAAACCCTGATACCATCCCTAGTAACCGAGGGAGAAGAGCCCTGTTTCACTCCTGGGTTGGCTTTCTTCCCTCTCTAGGCTAGATGAGCAGCGTAGTGCTATTCCCACCCGTACCATGCACTTTGAGAAGCACTGGAGATTACTGGAAAGTATGAAAGCGCAGTATGTTGCTGGGAATGGTTTTCGAAAGGTGTCCTGTGTGGTAAGTGTTTATAAATTGTTACTAAGAGTAACAGAAGTGGCAGGATCTATACGATTCTCTTAGTGCAAACATTCTGTGATGTAAAGCTTTTATTGATTATGAGCATGTAGTGGTCTTAGCTATTTAGTTCTCTTGTTCTGAGAAAGCTTACTAAGTAATTACTAACTGTTTTAGATTTTATTAATCTTGAAATTGTCACTGTATGTGGAGTACAGAATGAAAGCTGAGTTGAGTGATTCTGTTGTAAATTGATGGGAAAATAATTTTCCTATGAAGCTACTCTTCAGATTTCTGATTTTTAATATATAATATATTAAGCCATTTAAAATTTCTTTATTTGGCCTTTCCTTTAGTTAAGCTCCAATCTCCGTCATGTGAGAGTATTTGAAATGGACATAGATGATGAATGGGAGCTTGATGAGTCTTCGGATGAAGAGGAGGAGGCTGGTAACAAGCCTGTAAAAATCAAGGAAGAGGTGCTGTCTGAGTCGGAAGCAGAGACCCAGCAAGCTGGGGCTGCCGCTTCAGCTCCAGAGATGGTTGTTAAAGTTGAAAAACTAGACCCCGAGCTAGACTCATGATCTAGCTTGCCATTGTTTTATATGTTCTTATGTCAGGAAGGACACAGATGACGATCAGAGATGTGTTGGACACTTAATTTTCTTTACAAAATAAACAGTAAGTTTTGAGTTTTTTATGCTGTGTCTTCTCTCAGTGGTATAACCACCGTGAGAGGCTTTCTCCTTTTACCAAGACTTCTAATACTGGGTGCAGAACTAGTGTTAAAGAAAATGTAAATTGAATGTGAAGAAAAAGTTTAGTCTTTTCTGTCAAAAGGTAGTATCAGGAATCATCCCTATATCAGGAAGAAGTTACCTTTAGTCATTCATCATTGGAAGTTTGGACACATTTAGTACTTTTAAACTGCAGGCAACATTTATTTGTATTTTTCTATCTTCCCTTTCTAGTTCATTTTAGAATTCCAGAATGCTTTCAAATTAATTTATTTTTTATTGAAGGATAATTGCCTTACAGAATTTTGTTGTTTTCTGTCAAACCTCAACATGAATCACCCATAGGTATACATATATCCCCTCCCTTTTGAACCTCCCTCCCACCTCCCTCCCCATCCCACCCTCTAGGTTGATACAGAGTTTGAGTTTCCTGAGCCACACAGCAAATTCCCATTGGCTATCTATTTTACATATGGTAATGGAAGTTTCCATGTTACTGTTTCCATACATCTCACCCTCTCCTCCCCTCTCCCCATGTCCATAAGTCTGTTTTCTATGTCTGCTTCTCCACTGCTGCCCTGTAAATAAATTCTTCAGTACCGTTTTTCTAGATTCCATATATATGCATTAGAATACGATATTTATCTTTCTCTTTCTGACTCACTTCTCTCTGTATGGTAGGATCTAGGTTCATCTACCTCATTAGAACTGATTCAAATGTGTTCCTTTTTATGGCTGAGTAATATTCCATTGTGTATATATACCACAAATTCTTTATCCAGTCATCTGTTGATGAACATCTAGGTTGCTTCCATGTTCTAGCTCTTGTAAATAGTGCTGCATGTGTCTTTTTCAATTTTGGTTTTGGATAGAGATGGTGTATTTAGAAAGGTGATTTTTAGTATAAAAGTGGTGACACTGTTTCAGAGGAGTGTTGATAGCAGAGGCCTTATTGGAGTGTGTATGAAATAGGTGTGAAGTGAGGAAGTGGAGACCACAGAAGTAGGCAAGTCTTGAAGAATTTTGCTGCAAGAGAGGAGAGAAAAGAGGCCGGGGACATGACTTCGGAGGCTTTTTTAAGACAGATGAATGCTCTGAAGGCATACTTACATTACCAGAGGAGTGATCCACAAGAGAGACATTGACCATTCTAGAGGAAGGCATAAATATGTGAAAGTGAAACCCTCGAGAAGGCAAAGGGCCAAGACCCAACAGCCAGAGGAATGGTCAGCCTCGGGTTGGAGCGTGGTGTTCCTTCCATGCTCACGGGAGTGTGTGGGGACAGATCCTCGTGGCTGATGGAACTGTGGGTATGACAGTTTTCCCCAAGAGATACTGTTTCAGCAGAGAGATGAGGAGAGGAGACGTGTGAAATCCTTGACGTCAGAGGGAAAGGGACTTCGCTGGGGAAGTGTTGGCATTGAAGGTCCGCTGGAGATTTGTATCATAAATCAATAACAAACCCAATTAATGGAATCATTTTCTCCTGCTGCTCAGATGTTGGGTGAATTAGGTGGAGCATTGGCTTTAATCTGGGGGTTGGGGTTTTGTCAAACCACTGCAACAAGAAAGGGATGCGGGGCTTAGAGAAGGTAGTAACACCATGACAGGGTCAGTGGGTTAGAAGGTGGAGGATTGTGGGGTTTTAGATTCAGAGGGATGGAGAGACGGGTGTGGTTGGCAGTGAGTGGTACAGAGGACAAGGGAACTGGGCCCAGGGTGACTGCTGTTAGGGAAGGGGAAAATCACGGGCTCAGTAGGTCAAGAACTGAGTGCCTGGTGCTTTTGGATGACTCATCCATGTGGCTGTTCATGTAACAAAAATGACAGCAAGCAGAAGGGAGAAAGTTACCCCGAGTAGGGTGCTTGCTGGGATCACCAGTGCAGGAGGAGGAGGAGCTGACAGCTCTTTGAAAAGCTGCCTGTGCTCAGGGCTTCGAGAGGTCCAGGGGCGGATCTGTGACTTAGGTCACTTAGAAAGTTGGGAGGAAGCGGGGGATTGGTCCCAGGCAGACTGAGGCAAGGCTGGGCTCCCATGCCCAACACTGACCTCTGGAGATATCGAAGTAGAGCCCAGGGTTATAGAGGACCCAGTGCGAATAAAATTATGAAGCCAACTTGTGAGCACAGCAGTGTCTTCCAGTCCTGTATCAGCTATAGGTTGGCACTGCTTCCATCTGGGAGCTATGATTAAAGGCCATGATGTGGGGGAAGTCCTTAAAGCTGACTTGGCAGCTCTCCTCACTGGCTATGGGAAACAGGTGTTTGTTCCCCTGCCTGGTCCTATCTTAGCACAGCACTGGTCACAGAGATAATCCTGTACGGTGAGGAGGCGACCCAATCCGATGGCCTGGGAGAGTGGACTGGAGTGAGCCCTGCTCAGTCGCCCAGGCGGGACCAGGGATGGGCAGGCACTGAAGCACCCTTCTTTCCCCTGGTGGGGGGTGCATTTCCGGGCCTCTCTGGTGCTGGGTGCTCTCCTGGGTCATCTGAAGCGTTACCGGGAGGGGAGCTACCCTGTTTGGGGGCTCTGGCTGTTTGAAAAACCAGGCAGTTCCCAGGCCCCTGGGAGATGGCACCGGGCTGCTTAGAAGACCCAGGAGGGCCTAGCCCCAGCTGGCCCATGGACCTCTGCATCTACCAAAGTGTACACAAAAATCCTGAGTGCTCAGGGCCGGATGTTCCGGGGCCAGACCCGAGGCTGGTTGCAATCAGAGGGTCTCTACCTGCACCTGCTGCCGCCCATCCCCCTCCTGGTCTGTGTGCCTTTGGTTTTTCAAGGTTCTCCTGTGCAGAAGCCTGTCATGGAAGAGAAGTAGTGTGGGAGAGGCTTTATATACATTATCCCATATGGTTCTCTCTGAACAGCTCTGCGACAAAGGAATTGCTCTCCTTAGTTCACAGAAAAGAAAAATGTTCAGAGATGTTCCATGTATCCCAATTACACAGCTAGTCAATGTAACTGCCAGGATGCAAAACCCCAGGTAGCAATAATTGCTACAGCTGAGTACTTAGTAAGAGCCAGGTGCCATTCCAAGCACACTGCACAAATAACTCATTCAAGCCTCAGCCCAGTCCTCCAAGGTAAGTGCTATTATTAGCATCATCTCCATTTCACGGATGGAGCAACTGAGGCACAGGAAATGTTTTCTTGTTCACAGGAATCACAGAGGCTGCAGGGGCAGGATGGGGATGCCTGGTGCAGCACCCTTGCTGTTAACCGCGACACGTGCTGCCTTTCTGGGGCCTGTGTTGTTCCACAACCCCACCCTGCCTCCCGTGTCTTGGCCGCCTTGCCCCTAATCACGCTCTGGCACACAGTCTTCCTGCAGTGGCACAGCCGCCGTGATGTCTGTATGGCACGACTGACAGTGATGCCAAGGCTTCATTCTCAGAGCTCCGTCCTTCATAATCACCATCCGCTCTGTGAGGAAACAGGCTGCGAGGGGAAGCGGTGCTGCTTTTCCTGCAGATTCGGGAGTATGTGGGGGGCCCCCAAATCCTGCGCCCCAAGGTCAGCGTAGTTTCCTCCAAGACAGCGCTGTCCACGCCTGCGACCATGGCCTCTCTCTGCCTCCTCAGCAGGCTCCTGTTTGTGTGTTCAGGACTCAGAGACAGAGCCGTGCTCTCCCCAGAAAGGTGACAGTGTTTGTGCTGTGGACGTTCTCCGTCTCATTCCCAGTGCATCAAAATATTTTGCATTTTGTTGGTCTACAGACTTCCAGTGGGTAAAGGCTTCCATGGAAGATGGGAAGTGGGTAAGAAGCAGAGATGATCTTCTGAATAAACACATGGGCCAGGCAGGGGGTGAATCTGCAGTTTGCAGCAGAGAAACCATTCAAAACACGGGATGCTTGGTGGTGAACACTGAGAGGGACTGTGTGACACCATGGAATACAGACCAGAAAACACACTTGGCCCGTTAGTTGTGGGCTAGGATCGATGATAAGGCAGCGTTGAGAAAATAAGTTCCGTCTTATGTTTTTCCACAAAATAGCTCAGAGCATGACATGTTAATTATCCCATTTACTCATCCAACATGTAAAAGGGACTTGAGGAGACAGTCTTGGGATGGAGCAGGAACTGTAATAATGTATTTTCCATTTGAGAAACAGAAGTTGGAGGAACAGATTTGCAAATTGGCTCAGCAACTCGGTGAAAATGTGAGCCTTCGATCTCTCAAATGTCTAACCCAGTACTTTTCACTGCCCTTAGTTCCAAAATTAGTTAGTATAAGGGTCTGTTTATGTTTAAATGCAAGACTAATTTACAGCTAGTTTTACTCTGGGCTGGCTGCACACTAGGTGTGTGACACATGCCACGTGGTCCAGCACATTTCTGAAAGCCGGAGGGACGGATGATGGTTTGCTGCCAGAACGTGGTGAAGATGACAGTATACAAAATCACTGGTAAAGGAAATGAAGACGTTTTATGGGTTGAAGCAGAACAGAGAGGAGTGGTGTGGCTCTAAGGGGAGAGGGCGCAAAATGTGCCCACCTAGTTTGGAAGAATAAAGACTTGCTGCCCCTCTGTCGGGGTAGCAGTTCAAATGCTTTTCCAAAGCCCTCACCATCCCAGCCCCAGGCTAGCTGTCATCTCTGCCTCGAATCCTCACCAAACCCACTGTGTTCCCTGAGCACCCAGCCCAGGAGAGGACCTGGACTAATCAATGCACTGCGGGTGTGAACTTGTCCAGCTGCCCCCACCCCGGAAAAAGGGAGCATTGTTAATTGCCCTTTGTACCAAGGAGGATGGAGAAGCCCAGAGAGGTTAGATAATTTGCCTAAGGTCACACAGCTGGCGGGGGAGGGGTCAGCCGAGTTTCCTATCACACGTAGTACATCTCGGACATCAACTACTTCCTCCCTGTCTTGTGAACAACAAACCTTCCACTTCTGGCGGGCAAACTCCTCCCGGGCAGGGACCCCTGCTGCCTGCTGGTAAATCCTCACTAAATATCTGTGCCCTACTGGAAGGCCTGCCCTTGAAATTGAGTCCAGCGCTTTGCGTCCTGTATGGGAAGCCACAGCGCCCCCTGGTGCCTGAGAAGTCTTAGCTTTAGCGCCAAGCTGGCCCGCACGGAAGGTTTCCCAGCGCCCTGGGCCAGGGCAGCAGGGCTGAGCCAGCCAAGGTAGGAGGGGCTGCTCCCGACAGCTGCCCCACGCGGATTTCTGAGCCTGCCCTGTGGGAACGCCTCAATCCAGGACGCTCGGGCACCACATGGCCTTTCTGACTGATGCTGGGTCGCCAGGCAGCCCTCTGCCAGGCCCAGTGGCCTAGGAAGAGCATTTTAGAGAGGAAGATGTGTGGGAGGGTCCGCATCAGGAGACGGGGTTCCAGAGGTCGACGTGGCCTGCAAGTTGGCGGCTGGCCGGAAGGCCCTGCAGAGGGCAGCAGTTTGCTTGTCTGTGCTCTTCATGCTGGGCTGGTTTCCTGACTCATGGGTCCCACACAGGCCTCGTGCTCTGAAGGGCCCAGGCTCAGTTTAATGCTGTGGAACTAACCACATGAGAACAAGCAAAGGCTGTTTGTTCTGAGCTTTCCTGAGCAACGGAGGCAGTCTTGCCTTTCGGCAGAGACTAGACAGCAGTCTGAAGGGCTGAGAATGCTTTAGAGTGAAGAAGAGGGAAGGCTGCAGGCTTACGCTGACTGGAGGCAGTGGGCTCCAGGAGGTGGAAGGAGGCCTAATAGAAGCGGGACATCCTACGTGGCTGGTGAGGAGTGTGTATTTGGCCGTATCTGGTTGGTTCTGAGTTGGAAGCAGGGACAGAAAGTAGGAAAGCTGTCGATCACTTCAGTTCAGTTCAGTTCAGTTCCTCAGTCATGTCTGACTCTTTGTGACCCCATGGACTGCAGTACACCAGGCCTCCCTGTCCATCACCAACTCCCGGAGTTTACTCAAACTCATATCCATTGAGTCAGTGATGCCATCCAGCCATCTCATCCTCTGTTGTCCCATTTTCCTCTTGCCTTCAATCTTTCCCAGCATCAGGATCTAGTCCAATCAGTCAGTTCTTCGCATCAGGTGGCCAAAATATTTGAGTTTCAGCTTCAACATCAGTCCTTCCAATGAACATCCAGGACTGCTCTCCTTTAGGATGCACTGGTTGGATCTCCTCGCAGTCTAAGGGACTCTAAAGAGTCTTCTCCAACACCACAGTTCAAAAGCATCAAGTCTTCGGCGCTCAGCTTTCTTTATAGTTCCATTCTCACATCCATCCGTGACTACTGAAAAAACCATAGCCTTGACTAGATGGACCCTTGTTGGCAAAGTAATGTCTCTGCTTTTTAATATGCTGTCTAGGTTGGTCATAGCTTTTCTTCCAAGGAGCAGGCGTCTTTTAATTTCATGGCTGCAGTCACCATCTGCAGTGATTTTGGAGCCCCCAAAAATAAAGTCTGTCACTGTTTCCACTGTTTCCCCATCTATTTGCCATGAAGTGATGGTTACTGATCATTGGCTATTGAGGCCGATTGTTGCAAGAAGATTCTTTGGCTTCCTGGATTGCCACTGTTGAGGTGGCCGTCTCCCTTCCTGCATGAATGGTTTATATAAAGCAGACGGTTTTCTGGGCTGGTTATCATAGATGAGTCAGTTCTCTGGGCAGGCTGCTGTAGGCTGCAGGTAAGAGTTCTATTTCATGCGTGGTCTGGCCATTGACTATATTCAGTTTCTCACTCTGCTGTCGCCGTCTTGAAATTCTTGACAAGAGGCCCCGTATTTTCATTCCATACTGCGACCTGTAAATGATGTAGCCATTCCTGTGTTCTTTGGACTCATGACCAAGGAAGCTTTCATGATCTAGTTGCAGTTTTCAAACTTTTACTTAGAATTCAAGTTTGTGTTGTTCACAAGGACTGAGGGCCTCCTGGTGAAGCCGAGGTACAAACACCCTGGAGAATATCTGCCTGTTGATGAGTCTGTTTCAGGTCTGTTTCATTCTCAAGCCTGCAGATCTTCTGCTGTGTTTTTTTCCATCTTGGTGTGGCAGGGGTCTTCTGGGCAGTGAGGATAGTCAGTGAGCCTGGGCTGAAACAAACATCTAACTTGGGTCACAGCTAACTAATTTAGATCCTGTTCATTTTAAATAGAAAAGGTTTGATCAACATTTGATGAAAAGATTTGCTAAGCAAATGCACTGTGCAGAACGTTTGCAAGGAGGAGGTCAATATTTAATCTGTCTCGAACAAAATTTTCAAGGACCTAATCAGCACTGTGTTATGCAAAACCAATGAATTACCTTGTAAACATAAAATCTAATTTCAATACATTCTTTGCTGTTCTTGTGTTGGAGGAGGTCACTGAGAGGTCGTGACCACCAGTTGACCTGTGAGGGGACCCTGGCAATCAGAGGCTCCTGACCCCATCCTCTGTCCTTGGAGTCTACATTCTTCCCACTGTCCCCACACTAGGAGCTGTCTCAAGGATGCAACCTTGAGATAATGTGCTGTTGAGACCATTTGAACCCATTTAAGGCCTCTACATAAGTTTTAAGACCAACGGGCAAGTGTGGAGATCTGAGGCCACCCCAGACAAGCCTCATCTGTTAACTTCCTTTGCTTGTTACACTTGCTATCTACCAATCTGGAGCAGCTTTCTCTTTCTTAGTCTCTCCTGTCCCCTTTAACCTATTAGGGACAGTTTCTGATTTCACCTGGGGGAAGATCCTGAGCTTATTATCATGAAAGTGGCTCTGAATCCTCCTGCCTCTAGACATAGCCTCACGAAGGTATCTTGAAACACTGAAAAGCAGGACAGTGAAATCCTTCTGCAGGGATTTGCTAATTTAGGCTTACTGCAAAAAAAGCACATCTTTTTCAGGTCCCTGCACCCAAGTGCTGAGGCGTTTCTGTACCTCTGTTACCCTCACTGCTCCCCGTTTCAGGTTTCCTGGGGACACCAACGCCGTGTGGGTTTCCCTGCAGTGCTGAGTCCTTCCCTTCCTTCCTCAGGATGAGCCTTTCTGCCATTGTCTCTCCTTCCTGCACAAAGACTGGCTTCTCCAAGTGGTCCCTTCCTTCTGCCTCTCCCCCATCTAGTCCCACCAAAAAGCTCTGGAGGCAGACAGAGCAGCTCCCAGGCCACACTCTGCCACTCAGTAATGATGAGAGCTTAATCAGGATGTTTAACTACTTGGAGCCTCATCTTCTTTATCTGTGAAATGGGAACACTGACCCTAGCCTCCCTGAGTCCTGGTGAGGGCCAAGGGGATAACGTTCATGGAAAGGGATGAACTAGTGCTGGCCCAGCCCACACTCAGTAAACTCAGCCTGTGGTGGTTAATTCCAGATGGCAATGCCATTCACCTCGTTGCTTTGGTTACATTTGTCTTTCTGGTGAAGGAAAATTTCCCCATGTATGTGCCACCTCAGACATCAGCTCTGGTTTCAATGCCCTCAAACTCAAAGGATGAAGACTCTTCTCCACTGAGAGCACTCAAGAGAAGATGCCACGGGGGCTGGTGGCAGCTGCCAAGGAGGCCTGTCTTAGCCTTTTGGGAAGACAGTACTATGGGCTGGAGCACAAGAGTGGCCTCTCAGGTGGCCATCTGCAAGGGGGT